CATTGCTCGTTCTTCATACAAGCCTGACAAACAGCAATTATAATTACTAAAATTACATTAAAACCAGACATACTTGCTGCAAAATTGATGACTCCAAAAATTAAAAATATAAAAACGACAAAATCAGCATTTCATATTACAAAACACCAACACAAACATTTTGCTCGAAGACAACATTTCAAAATACAAAACACCAACACAAAACTAAACTAGAATCAAAATATGTCTCCAATTCAACTAAATTTTAACAGATGAACTAAGCTTAGTTTGCAAATACATTCACATTTACTTACCTGCCAACCATTCATCATCTTCAACTTCGAATTTCTTGATAACGTCATGCCAACGTTCTTCATATTCCTCACAATCAAGACTATCATAAATAGCATGCTTCAGCGCCTTCTTCAGCTCCTGGTACTTCACATGCTTGCCTAACTTCTTTCCAAACTTGTTAATGATGTTCCAAATGCACCATCTATAGGTTGTTCCTTTCATAACAACCTTCAGAGCTTTCCTCATTGCCGGATCCTGGTCAGTAAGGATCCCAATAGGTTCTTTGTCGCCCATGCATCGAAGCCAATTTGAGAACACCCATTCAAAAGTCTCAGCATTCTCACGGGTGACAAGCGCACATCCAAAAAGAATGGTTTGCCCATGATGGTTCACTCCTACAAAGTTGCAAAAAGGAAGTTTGTATCCATTAGTCAAATAAGTGGAATCAAATACAACTACATCCCCAAACTCTTCATAAGCCACCCTACTCCTTGCGTCTACCCACAACACATCCTTAAGCCTTCCTTCTTCATCAACTCAATATGTATGAAAGAAATTTGAATTGTCATCTACCATTCTCTTAAAATAAGAAAACATGGCTTTTGCATCACCTTCTTCAAATACCCTTTTCCTTTCCTTAGACACTTCATCATGTAAGTCTTTTTGCTCAAACTGCATCCCCTCCAACCCATTCCTGTGCCGAGCCATACTTCTGTAAATAGTAGAAACTGGCACCCCTGCCCTTCTTTCTTGAAATAGCTGCTTCACAATATGGGGATTTTCCACCAAAAACTTCTTCCGAAATTTACTTATACTCTTCGCTTTACTAGGGGTTGGACTATGCCCATCATGTTCCATTTTTGCCTTTGTTATCTCCCACTGACCTACACCATTCACATGTGCATATACAAACACAGGGCATTCACATTTTTTTGACTTTCGCTTAGGACACAACTCTTCATCCTCACTGATTTGAGCATCTGTGACTAAACCCAATTCACTCTTTTTCCTCATTCGACCAGGCCTTCCATAGCTTTCACATGTCCACCTACAATTCCTCTTTGCCCCTTTTCCATTATTTGCACCGCTTACACGCACAACACCAAACCCATTCTGCTGCCCATATTCCCTGAAATACTTATCCACTTCTATCATGGACTCAAAAACCATTCCAATGGATGGAGGTGGCAAAGCAACATCCATCTCCACTTCACCAGCCTCCTCAATCTGAATACTGATGGAGACATTGCCCTTCCCTTTCGTTAGAGTCTTAAAGGACTCCTCCCCTACAATTACCTAGTACACCATAACATAATACATTCACCTCACAAAGGTCAGCATTAAACATTAGGTCTAAAAATTTTGAGCACTTAACAATAACATATACTCACACAACTAATCGGAATAAGTAAAACGAAAAGTACATGATCATCTAACAGAGAGCACTGACTACAGGGAGGACGATGCAATTATGAGCAATTACATGACATACCAATACAACCAATCAAGTTACATGTATATATTGCAAATTTCTCATACAATTGCGCAACACAACGAAGTCAATTATGCAACTTTTCATACGATTGTAAATTTACAAACCCTAATTTCCCCTTCCCCCCAATTTTCAGACAAACCCATAATTACATATCCAAATTTAAGCAATTAAACAGTCACCTGATTTAAAAGCAACTCCAATGCCGCTGCGCAGTCCACTTCTCCACAGTCATCATCTACGGCCTCTAAGATGCTCGGACCTAACTCACCACCGCTGTTGTACCGCTCGATATCCTCAGTTGTTTCCAGATACTCCATTACACTCCAGCTGAGAATACTGTAACTTTTTCTTTATTTTTTAAACTCCATTTTTAAGGTTTTTTGGAGCTCAACAATGGAAGAAAAGCTGGTCAGCTTTTCGACATTAACTTTTGGAGGAAGAAGCTTCTTTTTTTCAAAATTACAGTGGGTCTCTCTCTCAGGAAGTACAACTGGTGGGGAAGGGTGAATTGTTTTTTTTAATCAGCTATGGGTCCCACACCGTTACAAGTTTTTTACTATTCCGTTCACCTTTTTCCTCCATTTCCACAAACCGTTACAATAAAGTGGCTCTTTATTTACAATTTTGCCATGTTATGCACTTGCATATACATATCAAACCTCATTTAGTACTTCCTCTGGTGTTGATCGAGTTTTGTTTCTTTAATTTGTTAATATGTAAGCTGTTCTACATGCAACGTCTTTTCATTCATTCAAATACTATATATTAAATATTAATATATTATGTTTTCAAAAATAAAAATATATATATATTAATATATTATAGTGGATTTGATTGATTATATAACATGGATTCAGCTGGCGTATTGTCAATTTGTCACACGATATATGACTATGTAATATGTATGTGAGTCAACTCTTGCTAAGTCTTTTTTTGTTTGATGGTAAATATTGGCAAATTCAGTTTTCTATGTGCTTAATCGGTAATAATTTTAAAAAACAAATATAATTGAAAATTAGTTAAAAAAATTTATAGGAAAAATAATTTTAGTTTTTCAGTTAAATTAATACTACATATGAGTTCAGTAAAAAATAATCTTAGTTCAGCAAAAATAATTTTAATTCATCAACAAGAAAGAAAATTGGACATTAATTAAAAAATGTCTTCATGTAAGTGTTTATCCTCATAAGTATTAATAAAGAATGAAAGAATTGCATGTCAATTCAATATTCTTACTAATATCTTCTTCATCTTTTATTTTTTTTTATTTTTTTATAAAAGTTTTATTTTTGTGATTAGAGAGCCACAAGGGTGGAAATGAGTATCAATTCATCTCCTAATACCGGGAGGAAAATTCTAACCACTTGAGCTATCTCTTACTCTCCTTAATATCTAATTATTGTTAGATCGTGTGAATTCTTAAAATACTTTTTTTTTTTTTTTTTTTTTTTTTTTTTTTGTTGACAACCAGAAAATACATAAGGATACAAATCATACAATTTAAGAAACCTTTTGATTTAATTTGTACTTCTTTTATCAGTAAATTTACAATAAATGCGGAAAACCTTATGTGACGAAAGGGTAGACGGAGAGATTGTCTCTTTTCACAACCAACGATAAGCATTAACAAACAATACGCATCATCACTTTCAATTAAGCAAGGTGTTCTAACGTTATACCATGCACAATGCACATGATGATAAAGAAAGAAACTCAAAAAAATTGTTGAAGTGGTCCTTTCACCCTGCTTTTACAAGAAAAAAAAGAAAAGATAACTGGAAAAGCTACTGTAATAATGTGATTTTGATGTGTCAATTACCCAGTACATTTTTTTTTTATTTACGTACAACTACACTACTACCTTCGTTTCATATTATTTACAACGATTATATATTTTGTCTCTCTACTTTATGTTAAATTGTTGCAAATAATATGAAACGGATGTTGTATAAATTTTCCATGGTCAATAATGTAAGGCATATCCAGTAATTATTGTTTTGCTTTACATAATATGCCTAATTTAACAGTTTATGTTCAGCAAACAAATAAGTCCAAAAAATAATAATTATGTGTATTAATATGAGTAAGAAAGAAAGGCATAATAATTGCTGTAATAATAAGAATAATTGAAAAGTGAAAGGGAACTATTATGTCGTAAAGAATTTAGGCATCCATGTTTAACAAACAAGCTTTCTTGCTTTACTTACATTTGCTCATACAAAATTTCAGATATTTTGACTTTTTCTTTTGCTGATATCGACAGTACATAATCCATCATTTTATGATCGAATACTTGTATTTTGTAAAGAGTGTGTATGTGTGATAGAAGAGTATTAATACATGTGCACATAGATTTTATGTGGAAAGTATAAAGAAAATTTAGAATTATCAAAGAATATATCTCGTTATATTGAGAATTGAGTTAAGACAAGCACAATATAATGATCAACGTTACCTCTCACGGTTTTTTTGGTCTGGTATTAAGGGTCAGACACTTTAAGAGTGAGGAGGAAGGGTAAGGAATCCCCACCCTCAAAGTGTCTCTAATGAGGGAGGATTGAACCCCGAACCTCAAGGTTGAAAGGCACAATCTTACCATTAGACTAGCTTAGCTTGGTGAAATTTACCTATTAGTATCACATATAAGAGTAATTGAAAAATAAGCTCTTTCTTGCATGGATAAGTACTCCTTTACTTGCAACTAAAGTCACACTTGTGTAGATGCATTGTCATTGCTTACAATAGCTTTCAAATAATGTTTTGCTGCCTTAGAATGAAGTGATCAGGAACTATAAAAAATAAATCTCAAAATCTTTGGGACAAAGAGAAGTATCATCCAAAAATCTAATCCCATGTGAATTTAATTAATAATCTGGCGTTTTAGATTTCCTTTTTCATAAGAAAACAAGACTTTTTTAGGTTCTGATTCTTTATCATCTACTTCTTCCAACTTTTTTTTGGAAGGCTTAAGCACATGTTTCATTTAGAGCTGCATGATTAATTCTTAAGCTACTTCAGGCAGGAATTTAGCTATTGTCTCATTTACAAATTACTTCGTATTTGAGAGAAAACTAAATCGAAATCAACTGTAAACACATTAAAACTGCATCTGATTCATTCCAATAAGCTATCTAATTAACACATAATTTGAAATTCGCAATATAATCATCTGTTAATCTGTTATTAGCCGATTTGCTAATAGATGTCACTCCATATCTGATAATTGAGACTTCATTGAATGTTAACTAATGCTATTATTATTAAAACTTCTGAGAGGGGGAGGTACTAGTACAATGCATACAAGATAGTCAAGAAAATTTATGCCAAATACAAAGCCTCATTGCATACCCACCATTTTATTCTGCAAAATTAGTTTACTCTGATAAACAAATACAACATACAAGGTCTCACCTATGTAGGTATACTTCTGACTTACCTAAAGACACGGTGAGAGCTACAACATTGCAGCTGCTTCCTTGTCCAAAAACCACTTCAGCTCTCCTTCAGGAGACACCATTTGAACAGGCAGCATGTCAGAGCTCTGGTCTCCACTTAGTGCAGCCTTCACAACTGCTGCTTTTCCACTTCCGCAAACTACAAGGGCAATGTTGGCCGAGGAATTGATTACAGGGAAGGTGAAAGTGATTCTCTCTGGTGGTGGTTTCGGGGAGTCATTGATAGAGGTAACCCATCTCTGACTCTCCTTGAGAAGAGGGTGACCCGGGAACAAAGAAGCAACATGTCCATCAGGACCCATCCCGAGGAGCATGACATCAAATTTCGGAAAACCACTTGTCGGTGATGTTGCTAATATGTTTGTCTTTACCAGTTGTTTGAGACCAGTTTCATAATCATCAGCTGCGCCTTCAGCTGAGAGCGAGTCATTAATAGCATAGACATTACCAGGGGGGATAGGAACCTGGGAAAATAGAAGGCAATGAGCAACAAAGCACAAGGAAAGAAAATACACTTATCAATCACAACAAAATCCTGTTTCTGTTCTGTATATGTTCCTGATTCTTCCAGCATGACTAGCAAACTACTAGAAGTAAATTTAACCCATCAGTAATTAAAATGATCATAGTTTTATGCCAAATCCACTGCTAAAAGTGTAAAAATTCCTCTGCCTCTCATCCAACAAAGAATTATTTCTATTGTGAAGAAAACTTATTGCTATATTGACAATATACTAGCATTTCTTACAAGCTCCTACCCATTCAATTAAATATATATACGAGGAAGAATGAGTAGAAAATGTGTAGTAATCTGTTTTACAAAGTTCATATATGTTCCATATTTTTTTTTTGGGTTCATAAATCTTCCAATGCTCTTCCCCTGGACCAACAAATTGGTAAGCTCTGTGTGTGCATGGGTGTGGCTATTGTTTAAAGATTCTGTTCAAGATAACACAAATACGAGAGAATTGGTGACTGGGAGAGACAATAGTGAGTGCAAGGAATGTATACATGACTTCTAATATGGAAGTTATTGGCTAGTGTCCTGTGAATGGCTCAGAGAATTTTTAAGCTTCGTTTCATGCTTTGAAAGGAGTTGATTCAGTTTCATCTCTAATGCTTGATTAACTATAATACTTTTGCAGACATTATCATTCCTAATTCTCATGCAAGATTCATTTACAAAACCTTTCCCTCAAAGATAACAAGGAAGCTACACACATGGCCAAGCTACTATCTATCTGAATTTGCTTGAGATGTTGAAATTTCCCCCAAACACAATAATAGATTAAAAAAGATTGAAATCTGCAAATGAGCAACTGAACATAAATCTAATTACTATGATAAAATTTGCTAAAGACACGATGATTCAAAGTATGGGCTGACAATGGAGCCAACAAATTATATGCACCAAGTCACCAATACTTATCAACAATATGCTGTCATCTACCTGAGGAAAATAGTAAGTTTGCAATTCCCTCCATTGATAGGTACTACAAGTCTACGAGTGTTATCATATTTAACTGCATCACATGTATTTTACAGAAACTTTCACATCAATATTCCAACCATGTCAAGCTTTATAAGCTCTAACCTTGCAAGCCTTGGTTTGTTGGCCAAGGCTACTGAGAAAAGAAAATATCTTTTACTTTATTCTGATGGTAGCAATAAAAACTCCAGCATTCTCTAACTTAATTGTAGCACTTTCATTAGTGGAATAAGTACAAGCTGCAACCATTTTATATTATCTTCTCTAATTATAGCTCTTTTATTTATATAATTAGTTTAAGGCCAGCCAAATCCAAGCCTTTGTGTAAGTTCTTCTCTCTCTTTTTCTGGCACAAGAGAATTTGCTAGTGCTAGACAATCTTTCATCCTGTCTGAGTTAAAGCACACTGGTTATAATTTGGTATTGACCACAAAAAGCTATTCATTCATCATACTATAGAATTTTTAAAAAGCTCCTTTCTAGTTTACGCTACATCTAAGGATTAATGTTGAACAAGCATAATACTTCTAACTTATCTATGCCAATATCTTTGAGTTGTCAATCGAGCAGACTTCATCCAAGGTATATTAATGAGGACAACTCCCACCGATATACAGTATGCCTAAAACCCCATAAGAATTTAAGGATAATTCAGTCGATTTCTGTTTTGCAGTTCTACAATATAGTAGGTGACCAAGAATTGTAAGGTCTCTAGAGGAAAACAATAATGAAATGAAGCACTCTGTATTATAAATAAGTCAATAGCAAATAAGGACACAACAAACCTACAATTGACTGTTCTTCAGAATAACCCTTCCAAAAAAAAAAAGTGACAGTATGGTTGCTTGACAGCTTCTAAAAGAAATCTCAAAGGAAATCTCTACCTACAAGAGCAATGGATCTCGATTTTGGCTATGACTGAAAACTAATTGCGGTATTCTTGTATTATATTCAACTTCAACTTTAAAAATCTAGTGCAACGTGGAGTCCTTTAAAGCAACAAGAGACGCCATATTACTCTTATAGCAGTCGAATTCTCAACATTCTTCCTAGCTGAATTCGATTATGTTATCAGTCAGTGCAAAAAACGGGTGCTATGACACAATGTATACCTCAAAACTTAACTTAGCTTCAGACCAATTGATAAATTTAGTACTGTAAATAAGCAAGTGCATTGCATAGAAAATCATGCTTCGTCATTCTACAACATCAACCCGAACCCGACTTCTCTTTTCTATAACCCTACAACAAAATCCTTAGCCACAACAAAGGTTTATATCTGATTTATTCTAATCACAGCAATAACACTAGGAAAACAGCACATAATCTCCCAAATACAACAAAACCAAATATCTCATTATCAATATATAAACACATTTTAAATTAACAGTACAATCATATAATTGATGCAAATGTAATTCATATTAATAAACAAGAAAACATACCTTAGACAAGAAACCATCATAGGCAAGCTTGTAGTTACTATCAGGATGATCCTTTGGAACAACCCTTTCATCAACCCAAAACACATGCCATTTCGTCCAATCAATTGAATCCGAGTATGGAGGTTCTGCCAATTTCCTAATTTTCAACAATAATAATACCCATTAAATTGAACATTGAAAAAAATAAATTTTTTTTTATAAGAAAGTCAAAATTACCTGAGAGATTTGATAAGAGAACCCCCAGAAACAACAACAGTGAAAGCGCCCCTTTCACTGACAAAATGATCTGATAAATTGGCAGTAAACTTTGCTAATTCAAAGGCAACTTGTTCTTCAGAATCGAAAATATCGACATTGGAATAACCCTTTTCAGATTTCGCCATTAAAGCTGATTTTGGTGTGAAATTAAATGAGCTTTTTGAGATTGAAATTGCTGGGAATCTGAGAGGAAAGTTCGAAGCTTTTACAGGGAAAGAAATTAGTGGGTTTTTTGGGGGAGATTGATTGATTTGTGAGAATCTAATGGGGGTTCTTTGCGTTGTTGTTGAGTGGGAGAGTGTTTGAAATGAAGATGCCATTTGTTGTTAATGAGCGGATTCAAGGTTTGAATAGACAAGTAGCTGGTTTGGTAAACAGCGGGTTCCATCACTTGAACCGCTTAATAGTGAGCGTTTTGGAAGGGATTATTCTGGCGAAGTGGTGCGGAGTACAAATATATGTATGATAAACTACAAGACAAGACTTATACAAATCTAAAATAAATCATTCCAATAGGTTGTATATTAAAGTTACATGGCATATTAGTCATTGAAGGTTGGGGGATTGATTTGCTTTGCCTTATTTTGGCCTAGTTTGGTAGTAAGCTTATTGAGGGTATATTAGCTTATTTGACTAATTTTAGCTGATTGACTAGTCAAACAAGCTAATACAAGTGTTTGGTAGTAAGCTTATTGAAAGAGCTTATTCTACTAAATAAGCTCTTTTTGAAAAAGCTCATTTTAGGAACTTTTTCAATTGGCTTATTAATTAATTATTGTGAAATGACACTTATAACCTCATTTAATTTAAAATCCTATCCAAACTACCTACCCCACAATTAGCTTATTGGTCATTTCACATACTCAATCACCTTTAAGCTATCAGCTATTTACCAAACACTTTTATATAATCAGTTAATAATATAAGTTAGTCAAATCAGTTAATAAAATCAGCTAGTCAAAATCAGCTAACTCAATCAGCTTCAGCTTTCTCCCAAACAGGGCCTTTGTGTTAAAAAAAAAATGGTGTACAAACCCTAGCAAGATAGACGGATGACGTACTCAAGTATATATTTAACTTCCGTGGACTAAAATTTAGCTAACATTCTAATATTCTATATAATGCATAACTCACGTATCTACGTTATTTACCCAACGATACACCCTAATTTATTTATTTTTTTGGCCGGATTCTAGTAATGAGAACCTAAAGTGTGGGACAACAACATAGTTATGGTGATAAAATCCAAAATTTAGGACCTTAGCATAACTCATCATACTTCAAAAGTGCAATGAACATTACTTGTTTACCTAATTTTTTCTAGAAGATCGAAAACCTCATAAATTTTGGTATGTACTAAAAAGATGCGTTTTGGTTGCATACACAAAATACAGAGTACGGGGCTGTTCTAATAAACTGAAATCAGCTGAACTAAATTGAGCTGAACTGAATTAAACTGAAATGAATATTTTATAAGAGTATGAAATTAGGAGTTGAGCTGAACTACTAGTAAAAAAATACGGAATTTTACAATGACCAAACTACCCCTCCAAAGAGCTTTCCAAAAACCCTACACCCCGGTAAAACGGAAAAACCCTAATTTTATCATTTCAACCAAGCACTATAAAACCCAATCTCACACCTCAGAATCAAGTTATCGCCTTCCTCCACTTCTCACATTTTCCTAAGAAAAAAAAGTAAGAGAAAGAATTCTAAACGAGAGGGTAGGAAGGTCATTCAAGATGCAGATCTTTGTGAAAACTCTTACTGGGAAGACCATCACCCTTGAAGTTGAATCAAGCGACACTATTGACAATGTCAAAACTAAGATTCAAGACAAGGAAGGTATTATTTTTGATGGGTTTTATTAAATTTTTTATCTTTTGTTGTTTTGTATTGTTTGATTTGGTTATTGTATAATTTTGCTTTTATGGGTGATTGATTTTGTTTTAATTTGGTTGTTATTTCAATTATGATTTTGTGGGTTATTGAATTTTGATGCGGGTGATGATAAAGGTTTATTTTTTATGGATTAATTTGTTGGATTTGGTTGATTGCGAATTGAATTATGGCTTTGATTCGATTATGTTTTGATATTTTATATATTGGTGATTGGAATTTGAAGTGCGTGATGATAAAGGTATAATCTTTATAGTTGTTACTTGTTTAATTAGGCTGACGATAATTGAATTTTAACAATTGAGATTGAAAATATATAGTTGAGATTGAATTTAAACTTTAATTTGCTTGTAATTGAACTTATTGGATGACAGCTTTAATTTAATTTGTTATATGATTTGTGAGTGATGATATTTGATACGGGTGATATTGAATTTGAAAAATTGAGATTAAATTATGCAATTGAGATTTAATTATACAATTGAGATTGAATATAAATTTCAATTTGCTTATAATTAAACTTTTATTTGTGATTGATTGTGATGTGTGATTTGGAGCTGGTAATTTTAATTTGAGTTTTGACATTGTATAAATTTAATTGGAAAATCGTTAATGTACTTATCTATGGAACTTGTATAGTGGGTAACTGAAATTTGATGTGGGTTACAGTGAAGGTGTGATCTTTAATAAGGTTTTAAAATGTAGAAGTTTGAAAATTTATCGAAATTGAATTTCTTTAATTTGATTCACATTTATTTTACTATTAATCTTTGTTGATTTAACATGACATTGGCAAATTGTTTGAAATTAGGGTATTGCAGTTTGATCTTAGTGTAATTGTGTGTTAAAATTTTGTGTATGGCCAATTGATTTTTATTTTTATTTTTTTAGTATATTATCTTTATAGTTTTCACTCATTGAATGTCATAATCCTAACAGGTAGCTTTTGTAAGTTATTAGCTACATGTGATTGTGCTGTGTTATGATGTGATACATATTGATGTATGGGTTAATAGTGGGTCGTACCTTCTTAATTTTTGCACAGTAGTGAATATTATACATCAATTGAGAGGGTTAATGATGATTTCTTTGCAACAGGCATTCCACCAGACCAGCAGAGGCTGATCTTTGCCGGAAAGCAGCTTGAAGATGGCCGCACTCTTGCTGACTACAACATTCAAAAGGGTTAGTTGCTCTGCTTTTACGGCTTTCCCTTTTTCTATTGGTTAAATTCTTGTGTGATTAATATAGGCATGCCTTACATAGTGAAACGGCTACACCTCGATTCTATAGAAATTATATATATACTTCAATTTAAATTCCAAGCCAATTTCATATTAATGTATGAATGCTTAGTGTTATTTAATTTGTTTCTGGTTCTGTATTGATTTTTTTGCTTTACTTTTATTCATATACTGGATCATCTGATTAAATGTTGAGCAATTGCAGAGTCTACCCTTCATCTGGTTCTGAGGCTACGTGGTGGAATTATTGAGCCTTCCCTGATGGCCCTGGCTAGGAAATTCAACCAAGACAAGATGATTTGTCGCAAGTAAGTATCTTGGTTAATTTTTTGCTTTTCAAAATATGCTTTTGATAGCAGAGGTTTGTAATTGGCACTGATATTATCTTGTGTGCTGTCTCCTTTTGTTAATGGAGCATCCTCTTAATCTGGCTCTATTAATCTAACATGAGCATAGTAACAATCGAGATTTTAAACAAATGCCTTGGTTGAATTCGTGAGGTCATGAGCATAGTTATATGGTGTTTGGTTCATTAATTATTATGGTAACATGAGTTCCAATTGCTTATAAAGGTTTTTTTTTTTACCATCTTATGTTCAACCTTACATGTCTTTGATCCAGCTAATTATTATTAGCTTTCCTAATCGGAATGTAATGGATTTAGAGTTCTATCTCAAACCACATTGAGTTGCATTGCAATTAGATATTTCTTGTCGATCTGCATGTAAATGTTCTCCAATGTTAGCTCTGGTCATGATCACAGCAGTGTCTTTTTGTTGGTTGATGGCGCTCTAATTCAATCTTAAATCTTCTAGGTGCTATGCTCGCCTGCATCCTCGTGCTGTTAACTGCAGGAAGAAGAAATGTGGCCACAGCAACCAGGTAAGTTGATACATTTAGCCTTTCAGTTAACGAACTTACCCTTGTTTTGTGGCTGTTCTGGTTTGAAATTGATGATTTCACTGTTGGTTTGCAGTTGAGGCCAAAGAAGAAGATCAAGTAGAGCGACCAGTTGTTTGCAGCTAATGTTTGGGCAGCGGTTTCCATGGTGTCGGTGTTCGGACTAAGCTGTTTAACTATGGCTCGTTGGAGGGGTTTACTCAAATTAGCTTTAAAACATTTGATCTTTTAGTTATAGTATTATTACTATATTTATATCTTTAAATAAGGCGTACATCTTCCTTAGTAGTCTTATTTGTCCAGAAATCAGATAATTTTGTTGCCTTGGGTTTTTGAATATTCATTAGTAAGACAATTTGCATTTTATTAGTCCGCTATTTTTAGAATTGTTTTCGTCGTATATGTCGTTGATTTTGGAATCCCTGATCACTCTCTTGATTAAAATTATGAATCAGCTCATTTAGTCATTTGTTAGTTTGTTACTACTTCCTGTGTCTACTTGGTGAAGATGCTTAACTAGGTCTATAATTTATTAAAAATAAAGGGTCTTTAATTAGATCAAAACCCAGTGCAAATTCAATCTCTTTTTGTATTAACGTAGATTTTTTTGATTTTTAGTTTGTGAAAGATAGAAATAAGCCAATATCATTATGACATTGTAATAGTGATAAAATAAGAGAGATTGTTAATTACTGAAGCTCATCATCTCTAATATGTGGCGTTTTTTTGTGAAAAACTAATATGTGACTTTTGATTTACTCTGGTAGCTTTTTAAACTATATTTTTAGTAAATTTGAATGACTTCCACCAATTGAAACTCGACTTTACCAACACTTTAATGCACCCATTTTTATATGCTTGTATTGGGGTTGGGCCAATTTTTTTAAGCCCATTTATCTTCTATGATGGTCAATCGAAGCCCATTTATTACCAACACTTTAATGCACCCATTTTTATATACTTGATCTGTTTGTTTTTTTACTTGCAAGATTTTGATTCTTAAGCTATTCATAAATTCCGTCAAAAAAAAAAAATGTTTAAGAAGTACTCCCCCCGTTTTTAAATACTTGCTACATTTCTCCATGCGCGAAGTTTTAGGAGAAATTGGAGAAAGTTATAAAATATCAAGGTAGTGGGGTTAGTAGAAGAATAAAGAATTGTAAAAAGCCTCTACAACTATTTTTTAATCATTTTTTTTTAAAATGTTCTAATGAACTTAAATGCAATTTAAAAATGTGATATATGGTACGTTGACCTTAATCTCAACCTTAGGATAAAGGTCTTATTAGTATTTATTATTTACTCGTTTGTGAGGAT